CACACAGATAGGAGTTTTGATCCCACACGCACCATAGCCCCCCACCATAACTATGTCTCGTCCATCCACTCGTAAAGAGCTCCTGAATATTGTGGATCAGGCCAAACTTTCTTTGGCCAGGTTACAATACCAGGATATCCTAGAGGACTGGTCAGACTTTGAGAGTGATTCCGACTCCGAGGACTCGCTTTCTACTACTCCTTCAGACGATGATGTTTTAATCAGTCTGTCTTTAAGCACTCCTTCCCCCATGTCCCCCGCCTCCCCTATCACAGCAACTTCAGCAACTTCAGATTCTTCTGATACCAGTTCTGTATCTTCTGATGACGTTGCTTTGCCTTACGACAGGCTCTAAGACACCATTGATGCTCTTCGTGATGAGGTTATGAGGGCTCGTGTACTCCACAAGCCCGACAAGCCTCCTCCACAAGCATCTCAACTTCACATGCTGGTTCACCACGAGGAACACCGCCCTCACTTGTTTTGGCAGAAACTTCGTGTCAACCCGGAGATCTTCGATGACATCCTCGATCATATATCTAATCACCCTATCTTCCAGAACCAGTCCAACAATCCTCAGCTCCCTGTCTCCATCCAGCTCGCCATCTTTCTGAATCGGGCAGGCCACTATGGCAATTCCATTTCTCTCGAGGATGTCGCTCAATGGGCAGGCGTGAGTGTCGGGTCCATAGTTAATTGCACTAATCGTGTGATGATTGCAGTGCTTGATGCCCATGATCAGTTTATCTGCTTCCCAGCAGGTAATTCTGAGGATGCTGACCTGGCTCACAAATTTGCTGAGTCACGTACTTGTCCAGAGTGGAAAGGTGGCTTTCTAGCCATCGATGGTTCAACTATGAATCTGTTCACAAAACCTGGTTATTACGGTGAGACGTTTTATGATAGGAAGTCCAATTATTCCCTTGGCTGTCAGGTAACATTTTTGTTCTTCATCTTCATGTGCAAAAATTAATTTAATTCTAGGCAGTCATCCTGCCCCATAACCTCCTGATTGTTGATTACTCTCTTGGTCATCCCAGGAGTGTCCATGATGCATTCGCTTTTCGATCCACTCGCCTCTATGACAAGCACGCTGATCTTCTGCCTGATGGTCATTGGGTTTGGGCAGACAGCACTTACCCATTGGAACCATGGTGTATCGCCCCTTTCAAGAGGCCTCACAATGGATGGCTGACAAAGGACCAGAAGACATTCAATTATCACCTCTCTAAGGTATGTTTTTTTTTTTAGTGGTTTTCAATTGATTTTCATTTATGTAGATCCGTGTTCGTGTTGAACACATGTTTGCTGTTTTGAAGGGACGGTTCCAGTCCCTTCGAGAGCTACGATTCAGAATTCAGGCCAAGAAAGACCTCGAGTTTGCTGTGCAGTGGATCAAGTGTTGCATCATCTTGCACAACATGATCATTTGCTTTGAAATCGAGCATCGCAAGGAGGACGGAACATACGAGAGTTCTCTAAAGTGGGCTCGCATGGAGGGGGAAGATTTTATTGATCAAGAGATTGAGGGTCCAGATGGTGAAGAAGTAGTTGGTGACAGGACATATGATGGCACTCCTGGTCAAGCTGCTCATGCAAATTTGATGGATGAGCTCTTTAACAGTCCTCACTCAGATGCACACCATAGGGAAGGATGATCAATTCTTTTTGAACATGTAATACTACTCAAACACTTGTACAACAAATGTATATACCTATGTACTCAATCACGAAAGGTAGCAACAAAAACATATGTCCAATGGAAACAACAACAGCAAATAAGACTATGAGATGACAATGAGAACAAAAATGAGACGACAACGAGAATGAGAATGAGAATGAGAATGAGACAACAACAATGAGAGCTCACTCAACTCCATCAGATGATGGGCCCTTGCTCGCCTGCATCATTTGCTGAAATTGAATCTTGAGTTGAAGGGTCTCCGCCTCCTTGTTGAGCACAAGCGAATGCGCTTCGTAGACTCAGATGTCGGTCTCGCGAAGGCGGATCTCGCTATCCTTCAACTCCTGCAGACGCTGATGGCTGATGGTAGCCTGGAAAGTCTCGTGTTCGCGGGCGGCGCGAAGGTATTTGTACTTCTTGATGTCATGGGTGTGCTCGGTCTTCGCCTTGAGCTTCGCGAGAAAGCGAAGGTGCTTGTGGTCGTGGCGCGACATCGTGTCGGATTGCATCGATGCTATCTCGTCCCTCACCTCCTCAACCTGCTGCGTCACATCTGACTTAGCTTTCTTCTTCTTTGATCCACCGGCGCTGTTGGGAAGCGAGGTCTGGGGGGTCGAGGACATCAGGTAGTCCAACAACGAGGTAGTATTCCATGTTGTGGATGAAGGCGCTGATGTGCTGAAAGAGATATCCGATGGCAGCCTGCGGTGTCTACCGCGGCTCATTGGCTTCTTCAGGCCAAACACTGAGTGGCTGTTGTAGACAGACGATGGGGATGCTGTTGGCATGTGGAAAGGTTCGGGAGCATCGGGAATGGCAGGAATGGCAGGAATGTCGGGAGGGAGAGACGGCGACAAAAGCTGTTGCTTCTTCCCAGCGGCTTTGGAAGAGTTATTGGCCACGAGTTGAAAGCCTTAATCAGAGTTTAGCGAGCTTTCAAACATTTCTAATTTTTATTTTGAGTATCACTATTATGTATTTCGCATTTTTAACATAATTGAATGAATACTACAATGGATCCTCCACCTCATCCCTTGGGCCTCAACCCATTCTAAAAAGGCTCCAGAGATTCAACAGTGTACCAGGAGAGAGTTTTACCTGCGAGTGATAGCTGGGTACTAGGGTTCTGCATGGGTACAGGTTACCCGCGCAGGTCGCGGGTATGGGTACCATTGGGGTACGGGTACGGGTTGCCTTTTGTGGTACCCATACCCTCACCCATACCCGTACCATGGGTTGACAACCAAAAATGAGATATATTGCTACCTACTACAGTGCAGGGAGAACTCCGAGTCTGAAACTATACAGCTGTCAAACCCTAACTAAACAACCCCATATCGCAACTGAAACCTTGTCACGCGAACTAATACTCAACATGTTTGAGACGGCAGCAAAATGGGTCACGAAAATGACAGAGAAGGCTAAGGCGGCGCTGCAGACTTCCAGCAAAAAACGGAAGAATGATACAAGCAGCATCAGTGGCGGCCCTAATGAGCCCAAGAAGGCAAAACCTAACCCGCTCAGTGGAAATTCTAAAGATAGATCCACAGAGCCACTCTCACCTTCACCGCCGACATCGGATGTCATCCAAGTCCCCAAGCCCCAGGTTGTGCAGTCGCATCAGGCCATCATTCGAACTGAAGAAGAGGAGGCTGCGATGTACGAGGATGCCATTGATATCAGCGACCAGGGCAGCAGTGACAGTGATGAGCCTTTGCACAAAGAGAAGAGTGCGAAGGACGAACTCAGTGAGCTATATTGATTTAAAGATTAATCAGTGTTAAGCATATAATAGTGAGATTAATGAAAGATTGGGTCTCACCTGTGTACGCATTCTTCTACCCAAAACCACGCATCGTTGTCATCAGTGGACGGCGTGCACACGAGTTCAAGTGCTGTGCAAAAGGGTGCCAAGCAACCACTCGGAGATTTCTCGACAAAAAGGATGCACGATCCACTGGAAACATGCACAAGCATGTGAGGGCATGCTGGGGTGAAGATGTCCTTGCAGCCACCGACGATGCAAAGGATGCAAATGAGGCCTGCACAAAGATAGTTGGAGGTATCCTGTGCAATGGGTCAATCACTGCGTCATTCGAGTGCAAGGGGAAAGGAAAGATTACATACTCTCACCGTCAACATACGAGGGCTGAAACAAGGTAGTATGGTCTTCATATTAGCGCATAGCAGCTGGTTTGATATCAATGACAGGGCAGAAATAGTTGAGTGGGTAGCGGAGAGCCTGCGACCATTTGAAGTCGTGCAAGACAAGGGTTTTCAGTCCCTTATGAAGACTGGAAGACCGGAATACTACATACCATCACCAGCAACTGTATCCCAAGATGTTCGACAAGTCTTTGTACGCACGCGTGAACGTATCGCTAAGATGACAAAGGTTAGATTAATAATTACAATGATATCCAAAAAAATAACAACGCACCAGGAATATCCGGGGAAACTCAACTTTACAACGGATGGTTGGACTGCCACGAACCATTGGGCATTTGTGGCTGTTTCAGCACACTTGGAACACAATGGGAAGACACTAAGTCTTCCATTAGATATCGTCGAAGTACCAAAGGTTTGAATCACTCACGGATCATATAAAAACCATCTTGCTGATCCAGGTGCAGTCTCACACTGGCAAAGAACTCGCAGCAACATTTGCAAAGGTCCTAGAAGATTTTGGTATTTTAGACAAGGTGAGTAAATGGCCTGGGGGACATGATTTGGATAGACTCACCAGTCATCCACAGATCCTCTGCATTACATGCGACAATGCCGCCAATAACACTGTAATGGTGGACGACCTCGCAGATATTCTTCCCTCCTTCCCTGGCACAGCGAATCATACCAGATGCTTCCTGCACACGATCAACCTGGTGGCGAAGTCATTGATCAAGGAGTTTGATACGACCAAGAAAGATGCGACTCGGGCACTCGACGATTATGGCAATGACACCAGTGAAGATTCGGAGAGCGATTGGCAAGAGGATGATGGTTTGAATGTGGACATTGGTGATGTAGACAATGAGGAAGGATGGGTTGATGAAGCAAATTTGCTGTCTGGTCATGAGCGCAAGCAACTAGAGCATGATATACGTCCGGTTAAATTAGTTTTAGTGAAGGTGAGTTAGAACGGATTGCGCACCTTTGGGACTAATAGCCCATTATGTAGTTGCGCAAGGTTGCTTTTAAACTGATAAACTCCACCACCATTCTTCTCCCTGCCTGACACGAGGCTCTCCGTTCATTGGACATGCCTGTCACTCTCATGCCTCGAGATGTTGCTACCAGATGGAACTCGATGTTTGATATGTTGAAGTACGCCTTGGAGCATCGCAAAGCAGTCGATGTTGTAACGCAATGCCGGGACCTGGGACTCCACAAGTTCGAGCTGACAGATGAGGAGTGGGAAATTGCCGGCCAGCTGAGAGATGTGCTAAAGGTGCATAAACAAACCAAACAAACCATGGTCACTGAATGACTAATCATGGATGACTCAAGATTCTGAAGGATGCCACACTTTTCTTCTCGCGCTCTACACCGAGTCTCGCCACTGTAATCACGGCGATGGACCTCATTGACGACAAACTAACAAGCTACTCGCAGGACCACAAATATCTGCCGGCAATTTGTGCTGCTGTCTGCCTAGCTAAGAAGACTCTTAACAGGTACTATGAACTAACCGATACATCTGAAGTCTACTGCATCGCTATGGGTGAGTTTTTTTGCATGATATACTCGGTCAATTACTAATCATTAGAATAATAGTCCTACATCCTCGTCACAAGCTATCTTACTTCAAGAATGCAGGTTGGGAGGATGAGTGGGTGGACACAGCAGAGGCCCTTGTATGTGACGAATTCGAGCAATCCTATGAGCACACAATCATCAACAATGACTCGATGGACAATGAGGATAATGGACTTGGAGTTCCCGAGAAGCTGACGAAGGGAGATTCATCCATGGTATGTTTTTTATCAATTTCTTTGCCGGTACTGATGCTATCATAGAGCAAGAACATATTTGATCATCTACCAGCCCTCGCACCACCAAGAGTGACTGATCTCCGCAATGAGATAGACCATTATCTCAGTGCTGACGTGGAACATGTCACTGATGCCATCGCATGGTGGCACGAACACCGTGGATCTTTCCCTTGTCTCTCGCGAATGGCCCTTGATTATTTAACAATCCCTGGTACGTCTCATTTCTCAATGCATTACCCACCAGTACATTAACCAGGCGTCTGAGTCAGCTACTTCAGTTGACATTGAACGCTTGTTTAGCTGGGGCCGACTTTTACTCTCGCATGTTCAGTCACGACTTTCTGTGCAGTCAACACGTGCCCTGCTTTGCCTCGGATTGTGGAGCCACCTTAATCTCGTGAAGAGTGAGGATATCATGAATGCCAGCTTGTTGCCTGATCTCAAGGGGGAGAAGGAGGACTTGAAGGATGGGTGGGACTATATTGAGATCAAGTAGCTAGTCCTTTCGTGTCGTAGTATATTATATCAATTTTGCAAGATATCTGTGGGTATACCCTCCGTGGGTACAGGTACGGGTCTGGGAGTTTGATACCCGCAAAAAACCCATACCCTCTGTGAGGGTAAGGGTTTTTGGCGGGTATCTGTACGGGTATGACCTCTGGTACCCCGGGGTTTACCCATGCAGATCCCTACTGGGTACTAGTAGCAGCCATGGTCACGGTGTCAGCCGCAACACGCCCGGCGGCGCTGTGAGTCACGTGGTATGTTGTGACCGTGAGATTTGCATTATACCTGCAAGTGGGTCGGATGTTCGGATGTTCGGATGTTCGGATGTTCGGATGGGCCGGATATTCCAGGATCGAGATGTCCTCAGAGTGTCAAACCAAGACCGAACTGTGAGAACACTATTTCGTGGGAATTTGGGACACAAACGCGAAACTTCTATGTATAGCTAGGCGCGCGCGTAGTCTCCAGCCGCCTTGTCTGAGAAGGGAATAATGTGTGACACATTCCCTCCTCAGACAACTTGAAGGCGGCTTCACGAGACCAGCGCACGCAACTTGTTACAGGCCATTAGCAAAACCTCTCCCAGAATGGCGGAAAGCCCAGGGCAGTCCGTCATTAACACGTCCGTTCGAGCGTTCGAAGATCACAAAAGCAATGTTCTCGCAATCGCGGTCTTCCCTGATGGAAGTCGTATGGTGACGGGCTCGAAAGACAAGACCCTTCGTCTGTGGAACTTGAAAAATGGCCTGATGTTGAAAAATATGCAGGGGAATCGTGACTGCGTGTGGGCAGTGGTGATATCACGAGACGGGCAAGTCATCATAAGTGGGGATGACAAGGGAGAGCTCATCGTTTGGAACGGCGTCACTGGTGAATCTCTCACCGCCATTAAAGCCCACTCTTGGTCAATCTTCTCGATGCATTTTTCTCCCAATAGCAAAGTACTGGCAACTGGTTCACGGGACCAAACCACAAAGCTTTGGTGCGCAAAAACGTGGAAGTTGCAAGGAAACCCAATCCCCTGTCGTGCGGCAGTCTATTGCGTTCGGTATTCGCCAGATGGCGAACTTCTTGCCATCGCGACATTTAGTGATATCCAAATATGGAATCCGCGCACGAGGGATTGTATCGCAAACTTTCACGCGGCGATCAGTCCAGCAAACAATATCTCACTCGTGTGGACGCCCAATGGCAGACAGCTTCTCTCGGCGGGTTCTGCTTCTGATCCCACCATACGTTGTTGGGATTCATTGACCTGGAATCAGGTTGATGATCCTTGGAGCGGGCACACCAAATTCATCAACGCCATTACCCTAAATTCTGCTGGTACGCTCGTTGCCTCTGCATCTCATGACACCTATGTGCGTCTCTGGCGCCTCTCGGATCGACGAACCATTTCCGCATTCAAGCACTCCGGTGCAGTGTGCTGTGTCACCTTCTCCGCAGATGGAAAGCATCTCTTGAGTGGGGGTCATAATCAAAAAGTCTTAGAGTGGGCAATACCCGAAGACACTTTGCCGGTGTATGCTCCTATGGAACATTCATTGAATATCGTAAGACCCCCTTATTTTTGTCCCTTCGGCAGCTCAATTTGTGCAAGGACACCCCAGGTGGTCAGTGGAACAACAAGGTAAGTTTGCATTGACTTACCGTCCCTTTGTCCTATCCTCTAATTTTCATGTAAAGCCTCAAGCTTTAGAACCCAAGGTATGTCTTTCATCCTTGACTGTGATCACACAACGTGACCATGTTCCACGCAGATCCTCTCCATGAATACGACAATACGCAATGCGTGCTTAATCGGAGACTTGCATATTGCTGAAGCGCTGCTAACAAAGGAGATCGACGCCGACGGTAGCAAGTATAACTCCTATGCCAATCGCTCCGTCGTTATGGCGCGAAAACTTGATTGGGATTGTGCTCTTGTTGATGCATGCAAGGTGAAATACCACAACCCTCCACTTCTCCAGATAGGCTAATTTTCATGGTGACACAGTCCGTAAACATTCAGCCCTCGTTGTCGGGTTTGATCTCGAAGGGTATTGCACTCTGCGGGAAAATGCAATTTGAGGACGCGATGAAAGCATTTGACCTCGCATTCAGGTTCACGAACGAAAATTCAAAGACTGTTCATTTACTTCTATTGATCAAGGCAAGTTTAGTTTCACTCACATACTACCTCTTTCATCCCGAATTCCAGGTCATCGCACTCTTCAATGCAAATCAACGAGTGGATAGAATGCAGCGCCTTCAAGAACTTCCCATCACTTGTCCTAACGTAGATGATATTGCGTATGGCGTCGTGAAAGTGAGCATCTTACATTTAACAAAATGCAGGTTCTTGCATCGATTGACAGTATTTGTTCTTGATTCGTACTTGAGGCTTATCTTCTTGTCCAACTGGGTACCAATGCCTTGGATGGTGGGTATCACAACGAAGCTGCTGACCATTTCGCCGATGCTGTTAATGCCATTGGCTTCTCGTCTGAATCAGCCATTCATTCTACGTATGAGGACTTCGCTGTGGTACGTTGATATGATGCAACCGAATGTGCTCTACATGCCAAACTACGTGCTTTATACAGCTCTTCGGATGGGACCTGAAGTCCTTGTGGCAAACTGCACACCAAAAATGGTGTGAGGCACTTCTTTGCGCGGGTAGACTTATCGAAGCTGTTAGATCATTTCGATGTATGATGGATGAGAGCGATGAAACTACGAAGGTCGCTTGCCTTGATTGGTCCATTGGCAAGTTTTCCGCAATGTCATACAGGTTACAATCCTTACCCACATTTAACTCAGCTTTTAAGCAAAATTGCAGTGCGCGCTATGCTGCCAATTTAGATGCTGCTCTCGTTGCGAGCGGTGATGCCGTCCTTGCTGCAAATGGAGACGCAGCCCTCGCTGCAGACGAATATGACAGGGCTATTGAACTATACTCAGCGGCGATCGACCTAGATTCTGCAACTGATACCATTTATGCGAATCGCAGTATGGCGAAGTCGAAAAAAATGCTATGGGAAGGTGCCATTGTTGATGCGCAAGCAGTGCGATTTCATTAACCATTTTATCGCCAATGCTCATTTTGGCGATACTTAGGCTATTGAACTCAATCCTTCATCTTATCGTGGATACGAGGTGAAACATATGGCGCTTTGTGGCGCACAACGCTACGATGAAGCAATCGAAGCCTTCCAAAACATGCTCTCCAAGTTGGAACATTCCCCCGACATACAAATACAAAGTGAGTGCTGAACATGTGACCCATACGACAGGATACTTAGCTGTTTATCCAGAGCTGCGCCAGCAGTATGTCGATCGATCTGACGTGGAAGTTACTATTCGGGAGATTACTGAATCTCAACTTGAGAACGCCCCGCTTCGTCTAATTAACACCTCCACTGGGCGCTTGTGTGATCGAAAGGCGCAGATAAGCGCCTTTGAAACGAGCACACAGTACAAGGAGCTTGTATCGTCAACTACGAAGCACGCAGACCTTCAAAGAAAGCGCATCAAAGACGTGGTGGCGCCGTACTTCCACTATACCACGCTATCACATAGGTGGGAAAGAGAGGAGCTGCTGCTGCGGGACATCCAGGAGGAAGACGTGTACAGGTTGGATCCAGTCGATAGCGTCGTCAAGTTGCAGTCATTCTGCAAAACTTCTCGTGATGCGGGATATCTCTGGGCGTGGAGTGTTACATGCTGCATCGACAAAACTAACAATGTAGAGGTGCAAGAATCAGTCAACTCCATGTTTACCTGGTATCACCACTCAGCTCTCACGATTGTCTACCTTTCGGATGTTCCGCCTTCGTCCAAGTCTGGCGCATTGGCGAAGAGTGAGTGGAACAGGCGCGGATGGACATTTCAGGAACTCGTGGCTCCCAAAGTCGTGCTCTTTTACCAGAAGGACTGGACCCTTTATCTGAACGACCGCTCCCCCAACCACAAAGACTCTGTTGCTATCATGAAGGAGTTGCAAGATGCGACAGGTATAGATTCACGCACCCTCGTCGCATTCCGTCCAGGGATGAGCGGCGTCCGAGAGAAACTCCGATGGGCGTCGATGCGTGTCACCACGTTACAGGAAGATATTGCATACTCATTATTCGGCATCTTCGGCATTCACCTACCCGTAAACTACGGTGAGAAGCAGAACGCTCTCGGGAGGCTCTTGCAGGAGGTTGTAGCTCAGTCGGGCGACATCACTGCCCTGGACTGGGCCGGACGATCATCCGGGTTCAATAGTTGTCTACCAGCTGAAATTGCCTCGTATACAGCTCCGTCACGCACTCTACCATCTTTGTCTGAAGATCAGTTTCAGGAGACTATTCTCGCGCTGCGGAATACCGTGTCTGTAGATTGGGCTTCAAGATTGTACAACGCGCTTGACAACTTGAGCGCGCCCCGTTTCTCTCAACGTCGGCTTCATCTGCCCTGTATCACATTCCTTGTCACAGAATCCAGACGGAGACAGGATCAAGGCGAGAAGACGTATTTCACGTATGAAGTCAAGGCACACGGACTACATGATCTGCTGATCACCACGGAAGATAAGTTGGCCCAATTTTCACCAGCAAAGCCCATCCTGCAGACATTCTTGTTGGTCTATCCGTGGAATCGGCGCCTCCTCAAGTTGCCTGACTTCGCAGAACCGTCTGATTTTTGGGATCGTACGCCGAGTGAAGAAGGTTTTCAAGACGATATGCAGAGCGAGGAAGATTTTTCGGACGATACGCAGAGTGAGGAAGGTTTTTGGTCCGCGCCTCAGTCTCCGTCACACGATTTACCCGTCAAGCTTCCTGGAAAATGTTGGGCTGAATCAGAGTCTCACTTGCAAGCGTTGCAATTGATTGTTCGTCTTGGACAACCTTTTGGCGCGTTTCTACTAGCGCAGCAGCGTGGCGGAGAATACAAGAGAATCGCGTCAGATCATGATATCATTGCACAAGTCGAAGACGTGGCTTCCATCAACGAGATGATGGACATCAGGACACTAGAGATACTGTAGCGGGAATTTTTTGATACAGGGTTCGCGTTGGACAAAACCCTCCTCCCACTAATCGTGGGAGTCGGGGAGTGTGCATCTCAGTGCGTTCAAAGTTCTGTATTGTTGTATTACCCGTTCGTCTAATGTTGGACAGTGTCCTGTGTAATCTCACTACATCAAGCCTCGACCTTCGCTTGTCAAGTTCGATTCATCCCCCACTTATATTAAAGTATCTTTTGTAGACTGTTAGCCAACAACTCCGACATTATCTACTCTGGTTGACCATTGTCCATCGATATATTCCACATCATTTGAATGCTGGCGAGGGTACACCCCAAATGGACCTTCGTGACTTCGAGTCTGATCCGGATCTATGATCTTTGATTGCTATTTTGAGGCGGCGCTTACGAAAATTTGGCAAGGGATGGTAATTTTTAACTTAGATTGCATTGAAATCTGGTATGCAACGACAGTGGGGACCCATCGCTATTCGCGAACTTCGGTGCTATTCCATTTTGAAATACAAGGCACTAGGGCTGATGAAGCATGGTTGACCCGTTTCGCTTGGTATAAAGTATAAATGCAGACTTCATAACAATGAAGTGAATAAAATGCTTAGCGTTAGCAATACATGGAGGAAACACACCTCGGGGAGATCGACTACAGCCATAGGTCCTAGTAACGGAGCACAATCTGTCAATTCGAGCGGCTTTCCCACTGGGGACAACGAGGAGATTTAGGTAATTCCTTGTTGCAAATACGCATGAACGCACCCATTTGTTCTGCCATGGCGTAGGCTTGTAGATATAACGGTCCACTGATTGTGAATATCTGATTCTTTCTGCAAGGGGTGTCGTCAGCTCAGTAACTAAGAGGTCGCACAGGAACAGACGGGAGTGTGCCCAAATCAACGATAGGCAGACGTTCACCATCCTCCTCGATTAAGCATAGAGCAAGCCTGGTATCCTCGTACTCATTCTTGATTATGAAATTGTCATTATCAAATGCAGGTGTAGTTTGAGTTCGTGTAGTCTGTTGCAACACATCGGAGGCGACCGTGACTCGTTGGTCGCCGTGCTTATCCCCAAAATCGGTTGAGACATATACTTGTTCTGCAGTGATGCCCGTGTTACTATCATGGAGGTTCTTTTCAGTATAAAGCGGAGGATGGAAAGCTAACTTCCAATGCAACCCGCCTTCCTTCTGCGCTAACTTGAGTACGATCTCGCCACCTTTCTTCAGGAAGTAACATGAGAACGAGCAATCGGGTGATACGAATTTCGCCATACCGTAAGTGTTTCACTAAGCTGGGGGATCAGGATGCCATTTTCCTTTTCCTTGACTGTGCAAACGGCAATCCTTGAAATTTTCATCAGTCACATGGAATAAGGTAATAGTGATACCCCATTACTCTGAGTGTATAGCGACTGAACGGTATGTAGTGCCTGTCACAGCAGTATTTGAGTACTCAAGTCATTGGAAAAGATATTATTTCACTATTGGCTGGGAACGTAAGGATCTGGAACAACGACACGTGTCAACCACTTGTCTTGACTCTTTATCATGCTAAGTTACGGTGGTGGCTGCGTACCTTCCAAGGTATCGGACTAAAGCTGTTACTCATCACGCTCTCCCCATCTCCAGGCGACGGAACAAGTGTGATGACGACCTGCATGAAAATCAGAAGATATTAGTAGATAGCATGCAAATGGAGCGTACATCTGTGTTTCGGGCCAGTTTTGTGTTACGTGCTGACACCAACGTACGAACACTGAATTCGGTTTTGCTTACAGTAGTGATCTGCGGATAGTACATGCAGGATATCTGGACTGTGGCCTCGACGAAGCTTTCGCTTATCTTGATCTGATCAAGACGCACTGCAGGGGAAGCAGGTCTATCATACCATCATGTGACAGTGCTGTAAGTAATTACGTTCCAGTTCGAATTGATCCATGTACAAGTGGGCTAGACCGACCAGTACTATGCAGGTCACCAGTCTGAGAGTGCGCGCGAGCAAGCTCTAACTATAGCTCATTGCGTAATGTTTTTCAAAGTCCGGTACCTGATAAGTACCAGTCCGCATGATTTTGCCTACTTTGTCTGCAATGTTCTCAAAGATCCAGTTGGTTTGATTGCTTCATTTTACCAAAGGCGTGTAAAATCCGACATCACTGACGAGTCAGCAAGCCGGTGCGTCCTACTAGTATGTAGATTCAAGAGCATATTCAAGTCTGTTCAATGACCGCAGCCAGTATATAGATACACCGCCTTGGAACATTTGATACTTTTATGTTTATCCTATCTTTGAAAAAAAGAAATACAAATGTGTTGAATGATCGTATACAAAATATGGTAACCAAGTCATCCAAAAATATGCAATTACCGTCTTCCAAGCCCACTCAGGCCCCATGCAACCTTCGACTGCACACAATCAAATCCGCCCAATATCCTTAGCACCAGATCGCGGACGGAGGCCCCACTGAACGGCATCCACCAAGCATATGGATCGTACGTAAGGCCTGTGAGATTCGAAAGTGTCTTGGTAAATCCGATGGTTTCTAGTGCTCGTGCGTGACGAGCGTCCGCGATTTCCTGAAAAATGGCATCATCCTCATCGGGATTCTCTGCAGAAGCTTGAATATGCTTTGTGATAGCCTCTGTAAGGAAGTTCGCGTCCCTCATGCCCAGGTTCATGCCCTGACCGCCAGCAGGGGAATGTATATGGGCTGCATCCCCAACTAGAAAAATAGGTAGCCCTCGAGGGTGAATGAATCGACAGGTTCAGGCTCGAATGTGACATCTGCAGAGACCATTTGAACCAATGCGTTTTCGGCTGCGTTTGGGCCTTCTGGGTCAGAGAACCCCATACCGGCGATGGTACGAATCTGGAAATGGTCATCAGACATTCCACCAAGCCAAGCTAGCGGTCACTGAGGTCTCACAATTGAGCGGGCACCATCTGCGCCGATAATATATCTAGCTCTGATAACTTGACCGTCCTCAAAGGACACGTCGGTGACGCGAGAGTCCTTCTCGTTCTGTTTCATTCCTACTACCCTGTGCGGACGTTGCACTTGAACACCAAGGCTCTGCAACGTCTGCCCAAGTACAAGCTCCGTTACATTTTGAGGGATATATAGCGCGTAAGGGTGGGCGGAATGCTTCTTTAAAGAGTCAAATTTGGCCTCAAAGATTTACGAACTACGGGATGTGATTTTGAAGCCCTTTCCCCTGATGGCTTGAGACAGTAAGCCATCTACTGCATCGATGCTAGCTAAAGCCTAAGATCATGAGAACATCAGTGGGCGTTTTTATGAACGCACAGATAGCTTACCTCGACGGTTGCAGAGTGTATGGTGACCGCCCTTGATGTTCTCAGTCTTTCGACTACGGCATCCACGATAACGAAGTCATGGCACCCGTGGTGGGCGAGAGAAAGAGTAGCTGTGACACCCGCGGGGCCTGCACCGACAACAAGCACGGTCGTGTTCTCGGGGAGAGACATTGTTTGCTTGGAGGAGTATATAATGTCAAAGTGACTAGACGGTAGATTGGCTCCAGGTGGCTCTTGCACCTGTTATTTAAGGCCACCAATACACAGGTTATCTTCACTCGTTATGAATGACGATTCGCTGTCCTGCACACCTCATCGGCCGCTAAATGGAATGGTCATTGCATTACAAAGTATCCCGAACGGATTACAACTGTTGGAAGACGTGTAGTCAATGACAAAACTGGACTCGGTACGATTGAAGTTGTCTTGACGACTCGATTTGTCTTGAGAAGGGTCTGATCTGGTCCATTTACAACGCATGCGTTACCCCGCAGATGAAACGTTTATCCTGGGGTATGACATGGGTCCTGCCAAGGTTCTCGTCGGTTTCGCGCGATGAAACAGCGTGAAGCGATGCTTAAGCGGTTAGTCTTGAAGCTTGAGCTCCTGATGTTGACTACAATGCCATTAGTACTAATAACGCGTCCGATAGTATCAGCCCATTACTCGTTTTAAACATAAAACCACGTCACAAGGACGGTTCCCGTCGGTCCCGAGGGTATCTTCAAGGTCTGACTACGACCATGGCCAGGTGACTGTAGTGACTCAAGAATTTACGCGGACTCGGAATAGCGAAATTCCTGTGCCAAACCTTGCAAAACAGTCTTGATCCACGCCAAAATTAATAATAGCACTGCATGCGAGACGGTACCGAGAGAACGTTGAACTAGATGTGAGTCGTCACCAAGTTTTTAATACCCAGGACAACATGGGCCCATCAAGAATAGACCTACGACTCAAGCAACATCCTCATGGCCTCAAATGCACTAGCAACCCAGTTCAAAGCCCATCTAGACGACTTTCAGATCTCCCTGGAGCCCAGCGCGCTCAACTACCTCACATCCATGCTCACCGTCATGTCCATGTCCGATAAAGCCAAGGACATACGAGACGCCACGGAGATGTTTCTCGACGAGGCTGAGGTGGACCCTGAGAAGATCAACCAGTTTTATGCTACCCTTGGCAAGGGAGATGTGAAGACATCCTCAGGGTTTGCGTTCAGCTTTCACTTTCTCGTTTTGAGTCTGATGTGATAGTATCGATGAAGGACTTCGATGTCAGTATCAGCGTCTGGCCCTTCAACGGATGATTCTCCACCTCTAGACCAACCGAAACCTATGTCATCTATCGAGGCCCGTCGCATGAAACGCGCGCAAAAGAAGGCTGCTGCTGCGTCTGCCTCCCCATCACAACCCACAGAAGCAGAGCCCAAAATTGTAGCAACTGCCCAGCAGAGCCGATTTCACCGCGAGACCCTCGAGACATCGTCTAAAGACATTGACATGCATACCGTCAACATCAGCGTCAATAACCTCGATCTCCTCGTCGATGCGCATCTGCGGCTCAAGGATGGCGTGCGATATGGTCTCGTGGGGCAGAATGGGGTCGGAAAGACGAGTCAGTACTCTCTTTTGTGGTACAAAAACATGCTTATATGTGGACAACACAGTGTTGATGAGATGCATGGCGGATAATATCCTTGCCATGCCAAGCAATCTCAATATCCTTCACATCGCGCAGCTTGAGACCTTTGATGAGAACACCACTGTGTTGAATGAAGTACTTGAAGCAGACAAAGAATGCACGAAGGTTTTGCGTGAATATGAAGGTAAATTACTTCTTCATACAGTTTGCGCAAGCTAAAACCCGCTTTATAGTCTTGCACGCAATGCTCGGAGATACACCTCAGTCCACCTCGTCAAACACCGCCCAGCTAAATGTTGCGCTTCACAGCATTCTCATTTCTCGAATGGAGGCTCGCGTGATCACCGCACAACAACTCGCACAGAAACGCTCTGGCACACGCGGACATGACGCCCGTCAGGCGCAGCTCGCGATAGAAATTGAGTTCACTGCACTGAAAGCTCAGGATCCACAAGTCTACATCTCATCTGACATGGCGACGGAACTCATTACCGACGTCTTCGATAAATTCGCGCTGATCAATTTCGATGCGCGGAAAGCAAAGGCGAGAAAGATCCTGCGAGGGCTTGGATTTGGGGAGGCTCAAATCGATGCCAGGGTACAGACCTTGAGCGGTGGATGGCGGATGCAGATTGCGCTTGCAAAAGCGCTATTTGTTGGCCCAGACATCCTCCTACTCGACGAACCAAGTGAGTCATTTTATATGACATAATGTTCACTTACTCATGGTTCCAGCGAACCACCTTGATCTGCCTGCGATCCTCTGGCTGCAAGAATATCTGATCAATGAAACAGCGGGACTGACGCTTGTCATTGTATCGCACGACCGGGCGTTCTTGAATGCCGTGACGACGGAAACGATTATTCTGCGGGACAAGATGTTGAAATATCACGCGGGGTCATTTGCAGATTACGAAAGTACAAGCGAGGAGCAGCGAGTACGGAAGCAGGCTCTGATGGATACGCAGGCGAAGAAGCGAGCGAAGCTCGTAGCAAGCATCCAGCACAATGTACAGCAGGCTCGTGCGACAGGGGATGACAAGCGGCTCGGGCAAGTAGCAAGCCGGAAGAAGAAGCTTGAACGCCTTGGAATGGAGAAGACGGAGGACGGGAAGCGGTTCAAGGTGTCTTATTGGGCCGGATACCACACGTCAGCGCGCGCGGAGATTGAGATTGAGAAGGCCTTGAAGACGGCGTCGATTAAGATTCCGGATCCTCCTCCGTTGCGGTACCACGGATCTGTGTTCACTGTAAAGAATGCATCGTTCCGCTATCCAAATTCGAGCAAGGATGTACTGACGAACGTCAGCTTGGATGTCGGGCCCCATGCTCGCATAGCGTTGCTTGGCCCAAATGGGTGCGGGAAGACAACGCTGCTAAACATGATGGTGGGCGTGACGCAGCCGACAACAGGAGAAGTATACCGACACCCTTCGCTCCGCATCGGCTACTTCTCGCAACACGTGGTCGATCAGCTCACACTCACCCGTACACCCATTGAAGAGATGCGCTCCCGGCATCCTGAGCTTTCAGAACAAGAATGTCGGGCGCACTTTGGCACTGTCGGCGTGAGTGGAAATACTGTTCTGCGGAAAATCGCAAACCTCAGTGGAGGACAGCGGAACCGCATTGCGTTTGCGATCATTCTGTATGATGCACCTCATGTGCTTGTGATTGATGAAATCACGAATCATTTGGATATGGGCACTGTGGATAGGCTGGTGGAGGCGTTGGAGGGTTTCGAGGGAGCTTTGGTGTTGGTGAGCCATGACGTATGGTTCATGAAGCAACTGATGGAGGGAGAGGACGATGATGACGAGGATGAAAGTGATGTGAAGGAGGAAAGGGCATTTTATGTTGTTCGGAATGGTGCTGTGAAGCGCTGGGAGAAAGATATGGATGGATATGTAGAGGCGGTTATGAAGAAAGTCAGAAAAGGTGATAAGTATTAGTGGGTGTATGCACTGGGTTACAATTCCGACGTGAAACTCTGATTCCTTGCTGATTCGCATACCGCAGGTGTACTTTTACACTATTTCACCTCGTTCTGCCCAGTCCTGCCCCTATAATGTTCTCCTTCTGTTAAGCAAACGTACTGGTTCAAAAACACGAATATGAGACAAGCAGGCATGATAATGAGAGCACAGCGAAACATACTGTTCGCGCGAGCAGGCTTCTGCAGCATTTCTACATAATTTCAATCAGTCTCAGCTTTCCGACAACGACGTGACACACCAATATTCAACACATCTGTAAAATCCTGTTTCTCAATCGCCTCCCTCAAATCCTCTTGCAGTCTTAAATTCTCGCACAGCGCTTGCATCGCTTCTTCCACGCGTGCATACCTCTGATCAAGGAGATCCGGGCACGCCGTTATGATAGCTGCGAGCAGGACGGTTGTGGCATAGATTGAGAACATGGGCGAAAAATGGATGGCTTGGGTGTTTTTGACGACATCGAGCTCAAGGAGGCGCGCGTTGATTGCTTTTAATGCATCTTCGCTCAGCTCGAGTTTAATACGGGGAAGACTGGGTTGGTTGGGAGGACGTGCTGACATTTGGTGGTGAAGTTCAAGTTGTCGCCCCTATCTTTGTTATTTGATTACCGGCGGCCTGTTGTGTCGTGATGACGTCCAACCTGCTTTAGGGATAACCGGAACCTTCAAGCGACCTAGTTCGAAGATTCCTTGTCTTTGAGCCATGTTATGTTACAAGCGTAATCATCTGTTTTGCATGCGATGGTGTACGGGGGGGTTGCAATTGCAGTTGGTGCTGCGGATGTTCGGACTTCATTTCTGAACCGACCAAGGCTCCGAGTTGGAACAGTACTTGATTGCCGGCTTTTTGATTGATTTCGCACCATTTCACCCGATCGATTTTGGTGATACAAGGGCTAGCGCTGAACGGTGGTATATCTAGCACGAACGCTATCGTCATACATCACTGACATTCTCACTCGCTCAACCATCCCTCGAACATGACCTAGTACGTCTCAAATGATCGCAGTTACTGGCCGAATATCAATTTAGATAATTTCGTCAGCTATTGGACAGGTTTGTCGCATCAAGATATCCGGATCTAAAGTTGACTTGCGGTTTCGCAGTTGCCGCGGGCGTCGTGGTGGTATACGATTGGGGTGGGCAGGACAGTATTCAAAAATCGCTGATGTTCTCATGATATTTCCAGTCTTAACACTCGGACAAGAGGTACGTCGATGTTATCGCTGGAGCAGCCAACTCGCTAAGAATGTCATAGATTGAACTCATCTGGGTGAGTGACAACTTGAAGAGTCCCGTATCAGAAGAAAACAAGAGCATGCGATGAATTCGCTACAGAAACAACGCTGGTCTCTCATGACCGTGCTGTATTTGATTGTTCGTACCTCATGTTTTGCTTTAGCTTGGTGGCAACTTGTGCTGACTCAAAAATGTTCTAGACACGCTATATCGGAATACCGTATTCTGTGTATGTGTCGAGATTAACCAATTTGAATTGGCACCGTGCTAATAGCTCATCTAGTGTCATTATTCTAGGTATGTCTCATATGTGCTATGTTCAATTCTTCTGACCGGCGGCACACAGGATTTGCGCCATCTGTCTCGCTGACAGATGCAGTAAGTATTCCGCAACCATCTCATTCCCATCCAATCAATACACTTATCTGTAGGGGTGAGTGAGATTCCAACCATTGAACTCGGCTCAACATGATGAGTCAATAGGTGTAAGTTCGAGTGTCTGATACTGGTGTTCGTTAATTGGGTGTTTCAGGCAGTATTATTGGCTATACACTAATTGGCACAAGTTCAGTTGTAACTGCCATGTTGGGCGGTGAGTTATCCAGCCGCGACACTTCTGTGATATTGACTCGACTGAAACCTGATGCAAGTCATTATGATTGCTCGCTTACATGCAATGTATCAGGGATCTAGAACGATGCTCATCTTCTTTGTTATTACCTTTCTGGCTGTTACCATCGCCTGCGGAGTAATCTTGGCAATAGACCTCAAGTACGTTGTAGGGGGTAAGGCTTCGCTTGCTGACTTCAAGAACACACGCTCAATGGACAAATAACAGAGGAACTGATACTCTCCGGCAGGTATGTGTAGTTATGTATATGAAGGGGACGTCCAGTTTCTGTTTTCAATGCTTTGGATGCTCAACACTGTTTGGGAGGTCCTCGCACTGTGTCTTTCAGTTTGGGTTGCTGTAAAACACTTCCGTGAGCTGCGACGACTCGGCCTATCGACAGGATCGACCATCGGGGACTGTTTCATAGTGCTGATACGATCTCACGTGCTTTATTTTGCAAGGTGAGCTTGTAATGCGAATGTGGTCATATTTTTCTGCTCAAGTTTTGCACATGTTAGCTTTGTTGGCGTCTCTTACCTTCAGCTTGTTGAACTCTCTCCAGAAATCTTGGTGTGCCGACCTGCGTCGATATCCGCGTGTAACCACTGCTCATCATTTCTGTAGAGTTCATATTCTATCGAAGCTCGAGTAGTACTCGATGGTTCTCTTCAAATTTTATTGGTCGTGCAGATGTTTGTGCTAGGACCACGACTCATCCTGGGCGTTCGAAAATACCACGCCAAACTCGTGGCAGGCTCCGACACAGAAATCAGCATGAATTCAATTGTCTTCCAAGAGCATGTACATGTATCAACTAGCAGTACTGTGTAGGGAAATACTTGCCAAGTGGTCTGCAGGGAGGAGAAATTTAGCCGAGGATCCGTCGTGGTATTTATTTAATTAACATGTTGTGTTTCGAAGTATCTTTGAAAGGTCTAGGCAAAGCTATTTCTTGTTGTATTACTACTGGATCGAAGTACCTGCGTTTGAACCAAGTGGTAAGCTGAACTTGTTCGGATTGACTGGCAACTAGCAACCTGGAGCTTAATGGCCCAACATCTGAAATCAGACTCTTTCCAGTGAATCGGATCAACGAGATACACCGTTATTGTTGCTGCGACTCGGTTAACAGCGAGCCGGTTCCGACTTTATCCAGTTTTGGTGCCGGTTCAGTTAGTCAATAAATTAGGATGAGTAATATCAAGTACTAGTACATCACGTATACAAGACGATTAGAGATCCTGCCAGCACGCAAGCGCGTAACTAAATAAAGGAGCTTCATGTAAAGTTCATGGATATAGAAAGGATAGGGGAATAAGAGAAAAGATGTACCACCATACTGATCTTCATACACCGTCCACTATCATTCCATCTCTGCTTGGTATAGCATTATCGGGGCTCTGCCTCTCCCATATGCGATCGGGCTTCCGTCGTTGCGGCTCTCCCTCGCATAAGTCTCTCGGTGCACTACGCGCTGTTTCGTATGTTTCTCCATCGAGTTGGAGCTCACTCAATGACGTTCGAGCGCTCGCCTCGCCCAACCGGAGACCCATTCCAAGGGCATCAGAAGAGGAATAAGCAGCGGGCGTGGCTGGTGTAGAATAGCTGGCCGCAGGCGTAGAGGGTATAGAAGAAAATGGTGTCGAGGAAGTGGATGAAAGACCTGGAATAGAGGTCTGCCTTTGGTGTTGTGCGAATAGTGATGAGGCAGGATCAAAGGGATCTGAATCATCATGAGATTGCTGGCGCTGTAAGCCAACAACGCGCAGACGCTCGACCCATCTGAAAATACATCAGTTAACAAGGGCATTATGTGAAAGAACTTGACATACGCATCAGCACGGTCCAGACTGTCCTTAACGACGCCGGTAACACCGCGCATCATGTCTAGACTTTCTGTAGCAAGTGCCAGAACACGCTGCGCAGCCTGTGTGGCAGCACTGGTCGTCGGACGTAAGCCTACACGTACAGAGCCCATAGGGGATGATGCTCGAGAGGATGTAGGTGTACATGCTTGAGAGCGGTCAGGGCCACCAGCACTGCGTTCCTTATGTCTGGTGGTCCGTGCACGTCTCATAGATCCAGCACCGCCAGCAGCAGCACCAACTGCTGAACTAGCGCCTGGGGCACCGTCTGCAATACCAGGAGCTGAATTAACACTGGCAGTTGCCCAGCGCTGAGGTAGATGCAAGATGAAGCCCCTGACACGTGACCGAGCGGGCTCCGGGAGAGCACTGCCGGCATATTTGCTTACAATATCAACCACTTGGCGAATGGTTTGCACAATATCACGACGAACGTCGGTTAGCGTCCGCATATGTGTAGGCGAGATAAGAATATCGGTGCCAGATGAAGAGTCCGATGGATGTAAGGATTCGATGAAATCCCTGAGAATGAGGATCTGGGCATCAATATGCAGTGTGGCGTACTGGTGGGAAATCACATGCGTATGAGATCTGGAGGAAAAACGAAGGACAAACCTGGAGCCATTGAAGACAGTATTTGAGACGCCGCATACTTTCTTCGCTTACGGCAGCACTGATGCCTCCTGCCTCTAGGAGGACAGCTTGCCAGCGGCTCCTCTGCACCACTGCTTGCTGACCTTGAAGGTCAGCAGGTGTGGTAATTTGATTTTGTGGGGGTGGTGTTTTGTTATCGTTCGAATATGTATGGACAGGGGATGGACTACGGGCTATAATGACAGATGAGATGATATGATAGAAGAATGTAACGATGCAATTACATGGTTGTGGGTCCGTGCTTTGGTGTGCTTGCCGTGAGCTGATAAAATCCCGACTAGTCTGCTCTTCCCCTAGTATTCGCTCTCTAGATGTCTCATCGACTTGCATCCGTTCGAGGTCAGTATTTGACGATGGACCATATCTACCGAGCTGCGAAAATGAATGGAGATAAGCTAATTTTGAGCACAAAAAAGATTGTACTGACTTTGTCGAGTTGCCTACAGGCAAACTCGTCCAATTGATTGACATCAACGGGTAGCCTATCGATTACAGGACGGGATATGGTCTTAACTGATGACTCCATCATCTCAGCACCATACTAAAGAATGACTAGGGTCAATAAAGACGCGTATAGGTTTCGGGAAGCTCACCTTGACAACGCGAGAACTGGCTTTACCATGTTCATATGCTCGCAGAGCAGTGTTGAAAAGTGGAAAATTTGATACTCTGGCTACAAAATCTGGAGAGGTCGTATCCGGCGGCAGAGAAGGGGATGGGGTCGATAGCGCGCTCGAAGCTGATGCGGGAATTTGGGCTTATGTGTGCCATCTATATCATCGTTGTCGAGTGCGTGAAGTCTACTCACCATTGCTATTGCTTCCAGAAGCTCTGGCTCCATTCCTCATATCGCCCAGCGCGCTCACGGCTATGCGCACGCTCTCGTCTTCATCTGCAAATGTCATGTGTTTGCTAACAGTTGAAGACGGCGGTGAAGACTTTTCACACATCGTAAGACGATGTTGACGATGGAATAAGTAATTGTCAGAAAAAGCGAGATGCTAGAGAAGAGACACTCGCAATTGCACGTGCAGACCAAGATTATCACAATAATTGGGGTACACGTTTTCACGTGTTAATCATCTGACCAAATACTACCGCGGCTTGTCAACGTCAGTGGCGTGGCTGCCACTCTTCATGCACCTGACTATGCCAAGTTACATCTCTACATTCCTCTCATGAGATAGCACTGCTGTTGGACGTCTGAACTCATATGTCGATCAATACTTTAATTCGTCCACTAAGAGGGGCATCAGTGTAAGTGTTGGACTAAACACGTGCGATTTTTTTCACATGTTAAAACGTGTTTTTATCTATAAGACTTGCGGTACTGAAGGATGTCATTTGGTGAGCCTTCTCTTGGTCGTGTCTATTTGTTTCCGTGGATGGTACAATGACTCTGACTCTTATAAAGTTCCGGAAATTTCATCTTAGAGTGAACAAGACTCTATGACAAATTCGATGTGTACCCCAAAGTCCTCCAAATGTCTCACCTCAGATCACTCTATTGATTTTAGATCTCAGCGGCACCGAATGGCTCCAGACTATGTCAGCCACCGCCATTCAATTGTTCCAAACTGGTAGGCTCGGCGAACATGGACTCCCATTCAATTGATTTCCAGACCGAGTACTTATACTCGTTTCCAGTTATTTGGCTGGTACACAATACCCTTGACTCCTCCTTATATCTCGTTCAGCACGACATCCGTCATGACTGAATTTGCTGGGATGTTCCGTGAAGATATCTCCAGTCCTGACGGCAACCCCGACCTGTGGATGGCTGACACTTCATTTGCGTCTTATGCCCCTGACAATTATTCCACCATGTATGACGCCGATGGACTCGGATACCACTCGGATTTCAATACTATGTCTCCCAGTATCGGAAGCAGTTCTACAAGCTCTCCTGCATCTGACTGCTTCGAACTCCAGCCCTCGGTCGAGCCCGCATACGGGCTTGGTATCTCTCAGTGGTTCAGCAGTGACGAAGAAGGACAGTTTGATGCCCTAGGCCTCGTGCGTGCAGAACGCCCTTCACCGCAGGTTCTCGTGGAACAAGCACCTCTTCGTACCGTGTGTATGTCGGACGTTGTCATTCCCAACGGATTATCACTATCTCCGCCATCCTTCCCGCCGCCCCAGCCCAGCTCGGACCATCTGCCTTCCATGCCTTCTCCTCCCATTCGTGCTCCTCATTGGCAGCGCCAGGGCAACCAGCTATTCGAAGAAGACTCTGATGCCGAAAGCGAGGGAGACTTATATTACCCCTCTGACGCATCCGACTCTCCCGTCTGCCGCTCAGCTGATCCAGCTTCGCCCCTATTCCAGTCTTTGCCAGAGCCGCCTCATCGTCGCAGACGCCAGGACGTCAGTCTTCCAATCCCCGTTCCCAATCTGACAAAGAAGTCCCGCGGACGCAAGGTTCCAGTCTCTTCAGGGGGTGGTCCCGTCTATGCACGCAGCAAAGATAGGTCGAAGAAGGGCACCAGGACATATACCTGCCACGTCGATGGCTGCAGCAAGTGTTTCGTCAGAAGCGAGCATCTCAAAAGGCACATCCGGTCTATTCACACGAACGATAAACGTGAGGGAGACGTTTCTGCATATCCTGCATGCCAGAGTGACTGATTTTTTAACTGACATAGCGTGGGTCTGCCCGATTGGGGGGTGCGAAAGGGAGTTCAGCCGCCGTGACAATCTGAACCAGCACATGCGCATCCACAAAAGTCCCTAAGATGGTCACTTCCTCTCATTACGTCCAGATGTACGATAGCGCAAAGTGTGGAGAGGCATTTTTTTTTCGTAAACGTTGATTTCATCCCATCCTTTGTATATGTATCTACGACTTCATATCCTGGTCTCTACAATTCACGATAGTCACGATCTACACTCCAACCCGTATTTTTATTGTTATCTATATCATTTCATGGAAGAATGCGCATGTATCAATGAAATTCGTGAAGAAATCGCACCAGTCTTGGTAGCAGAACGTGATGACAGTAAGACTGGCCCATTGTCCACAGCACTCGAGCAATCCGTGCTGCTGGTGCATATGACATAGCATGAGTACATCTGAGAAGGCGACACGATTATCGTATGAGCCGAGTATGAAGATTGCCAACCGTTATAAACAGCACAATCGGTACCAATTACAAGAATCCAGCTTGGACGGCTAGAGGGAGAATGAAAACGTAAATGCGACCCCGAGGCTGGGCTAGGTCCGAGAATTATAAGCACGAACTGCAGAGGTTTGTATGTCGTTCCATGTGAATATAGTCACCAATGTATGTAAATGGCTGGGAATAATGGTAGTCCGAATGGCGAAAAAGAAATTAGGAATGGGCCGGAAAGCAAATGAGCTGCTATAACTACGGGGATCAAGAGAGACCACGAGTAAACGGGTGCACGAACTCTTTTATACCGCTATTCACCAGAGCTATGACTCGTTCAATGCGCGAAGCTGAGCAGTCACAAATCCAGCTACTTCAGCGCTCGATGGGCGGGAGTGAGCGGGGGCCCAGCATCGTTGAAGAAATTCTTTGTAGCATTCTTCAAGTTTGGGAACTTCGGGGTCATCCTGCATCGGTAGCTGGTTCTCGGACTTTGCTACGACCACATGGCAGTTCCGGATCCACCAGTAGGGCAGTTTCCCCACCAGTATCTTGGTGCGCTAGTCAAAACTACACACGTGATGGCAGACTATGAACTCACTTGAAGCATAATACAACCAAAGGCATAGACATCAGCTGACATTGTGGGTAGTTGGGATTTGGCCCCGCAGATCAACTGAGGATCGGTCCATCTTGGCTCTTGAACAACTGAATAATGTGCAACAAGCAAGTCCGCAAGGTCGTAATTGGCTAGACAAGCCCTGCCACTCTCATCAATCAACACGTTGAACTGATAAGACGTTAGTATAGCGTGTCCCTCCAACATACAATGGCAGCACCCACGCCAGTTAAATGTCCGTGTACGATATTTTGGGAGTGGACTATTTGAATAAACTAAGTAGCTGCCACTGGAAGAAAGTAGGGAACGAACTGTAACAGAGTCCACTTATAATATCATCCACCTGTGGTAACACCACCATCAGAATGCGCAAGATGGCTGTTACAAAAACACGAACAAGGGAGAACTTGAGCAATGTCGAAAGAAACGGGTATTGATCGTCCAAGTATTGGGTTAGAGTTCCAAGGCTCATCCATGCAGTAATTAAAGCCGGAAAGACACCGAAACTGGAGGTCAGGCCAAAGAAGCGAACGACATTTCTTTGCTCAAGTTTCAGCTACTTTTTATACCGCCTAAGTAGTTTTGTTCGCAACTCAGGTTGTGCGGGGTCGAGGTGTATCACCTGAACAGCGACCTACAGGCCGAAGAAGTCAATGGCAAATGACAGCGGTGCACATGTGACGTACCTGCACTTTCTCCGAACCAGCGAGATGATGGTCACAGTGCCAGATGTCACGAAAACCTCCAGTTGCTACTGCAAAATCATGAAATCGAATAATCTGGTTAACAAGATCACCCTCAAAAGCCTGAGGTTTAGCCTTTTTAAGATGTGTGGACGTGTTGGCACTATTCAGCGAGCTATGTTGATAAGTGTCAATGTTCTGACGGATGATAGGGTGTTTGTTCCTGTACAATAACCATTAGCCCGTGGTTTACAGAGATAAAACCACGGACGAATTCTCAACATCAAAATCTTGGTTCCTGGTTCCGTCGTGAGCGAACGCATCGGAGATTGTATATTCGCTCAGAGTTGGAACGTCTTTATTACTGCTTGGCTCAGTATTTCTGGGTATGGCTGCAGGGCGAGTTATAGCGCCGTCCAAAAGTCGGGGAGCTCCACGATTTCTGGGACGAATTACTAGACTGACGATTCGCGTGGTAATCCGGCGAATCATGGATCCTACGGCACTACGAAGGGTTGAATCATGGCTGCGCCAGACTAGAATGCCAAATCATTATATTATCAGCTACAAAGGCGATCTATCTTGCCATGTGTTTGAGTGGTCTTCAGAAAGTTGTCAATTTGGAAGGCAGATGGACGGGAGGATGGATGAGCTGAGTTGCGAGGACTTGGCGACCAACACCTCCGAATGAAAGCCCAGTGCTTTTGAGATACACTCGGGGGTCGTTTTGGAATTTTGCCATCGGTGAGTTTTTTGATGATAAGGTGCTCGGCCACTACTTCTGACCATGGAAGTTCGCCAGAGAGTACCTTTATAGGCACGCATTAACTTTAGATATTCGTCCTATGAACCGAAGCTTACCTGCAGCATAATACTGCCAAAGGAATATATGTCACTTTCAAAGGTAGAATGCTGACCAGCGCCAATGATGAGTTCCGGAGCAGCCCAACGGATAGCTCCAGGGCATCCAATATATACAGCACGTTGTACTAAGCCTTCACATACGGTGGACAGACCAAAGTCAGTGAGGCACGCTTTCCCCCGGCTATCGATCAACACATTATTCTGTTTGAGGTCGTGAGCACGGTAAGCACAGCGTGACAAGAACTCAGCTTACGCCTGAAAGGTTACCGCGCACCACCTCAGATGTGTGTACTATCACAATAAGAAGCAGCAAATGAGTTTTTTATACGGCATGCGAGCAAGCATATCCATACAGTAAAGCACGCCAGCTGCAATATCTTGGAGCTTGGGATAAATAATAAGTATTTATACGGGTCATCTTTACTGGCACAATACTTACAAGCCCCAATTGTTGTCTGTGGTTAAATGCATCGTGCTGACTAGAAAGAAAAGTAGTGAGCGTCCCGTTTGGAAACCAAACGGACACCATGGAAATGGATGTGGCCGGATCGCCAAATCCCGATGTGACCCCAAAGAGACGAGCTATATTTTCATGGTTCAATTGTCCCCATATGATTAAATCATGATGTACCTGTGAGACGATTAAAAGGTTTGAAGCTATCGTCACGAATATACTAACGATTTCCTTTCTTCTCTCACGAGGCACGTGTATAGTCTTTACTGCGACCTGCCTTGGGAATCAGGATTGAATTTCACATGCGTTCACCGACATGTCTCGTACCTCAAGTTCCGTGGATAAGTCGGAGCGCCAAACACATTGGCGCACGTTGCCAAATGCTCCGGGCTGCGGATATGAACCGTTGGGAGTGATAATGTGGTCTGTGAGGTTAGGCAAGGTGAAGAGCAGATCGGAACTTTAGAAAAATGAATGAGCCGACATTGCTGATCCACTAGATTGAACACGCGGCCCCGGTTGGCGACTCACCTCATGATTACGGAAGGAGGTAGGGAAAACTTGAGACACGGTCAATGTCAGTTTTGCAGTTTTAGCAATGCTGTGGAAGATATGCATCAGCCTATCTTTTGTAGGGATTCTGGAGAGTACTATTAGTTGAAGGCGAACCACTAACAGTCAAAGTACATACGAACTGAAACTACAGCAGCCGCTGTGTAGCACCGGGCCAGTTATTTGGGGAAAGGAAACTAGCGCTTGGTGGGCCGAAAATACTTGAATCGAACACATGGTTAGACTCATGACCAGTCCGTCTATGAGGCAAATGCTGTAGATTTGAACACATGGTGTACCACATCACGACGGTGTCCGTTGATGAACACAGCATGCCAACTTGCCCTTAGTAAGGCCTAGGCCCTGAGGCTGTGTCAATCAGGTAATGCCGGTCATTACCGTAACCGTGGCTGGGTCATTATGCATTATGCAGGACTTCAGACTACTAGTAGTGGGTCGAGAGACCACACATGCATGTCCAGCAGTTACCTTGATTCAACTTTTGGAACGACCATCCGAGTCGTCCTGGACAAGGGGTGAGTCGTGACTGTCGTGGAAACACAGAATTCTGATCGAGCCTGACGAGAACTAGTAGGCTATGGGACTCCGCGATGTTGAAGATGCCTTCAACCGTTATATTTTCGATGAAGTGCCTGTCCGCCTGCTATACTTGCCGCAGATGAAGCTCCTCGAGAGAGACTCATTGAAGCGTCTTTATCAACCTCATATCGACCACATTACAGAAGCTGATCTGAATCACCCAATCGACAGAAGTGCAGCGATCGGAGGGAAGATCAGAGAACAATTGAAATATGGCATCCTTTCGCACCGCTGGCTTTCACTAGAACCAAGCTTTCAAGACATAATGAGCGGCAAAACACTGGATGGGCCAGGCTGGGACAAGTTGAGAGAGTTCTGCCGGGTCGCCAACAAAGTTTATGGAGTGGAGCTCGTCTGGTCAGACACTTGCTGCATTGACAAGACCAGCAGCTCTGAGCTGGACGAATCTCTCCGGTGTATGTTTAGGTGGTATCGCAATGCACACATCTGCATCACCTACCTTGCCGAAACGACCTCCGTAGATCAATTTCATAACGACGAGTGGTTCACTCGAGGATGGACCTTACAAGAGCTACTCGCTCCTAGGAAAATAAGATTCTTCCGCAAAGATTGGATACCGCTAACAAACTACACAATCGACAAGGATCGCCCTGCTGCCGATCAGCCGATCTTGGACATCATCACCGAAGTCACCAGTATCTCATCACAAGATCTGCAAGCCTTTGTCCCTGGTCCTTTCCAGGTCGACACAAGAATGGTATGGGCAGCAGACAGAAAAACGACTAGAAGCGAGGATGTAGCTTATTCCCTCATGGGAATTTTCGATGTCAGCATTCCGATCGCATATGGGGAAGGCGCCCAACGTGCGTTTTTCAGGCTCGTTGAAGCAATCATGCAGGTATCAAACGAACCAGGAGTCCTGAATTGGGCCGGAAAACCCGCACAGATACACAGACTGTCCACTGCATTCCCCTCTGCTCCAGCATGCTACTTAGGACATCCTCACTACGATAGAAGCCTTGCAACAGATGAAAAACGCGAGTTCGCTTTGACAAACAGGGGTTTGCGTATACAGCTCCTCGTCATACCGATCGACCTTGTCACTAGATTAATCCCCCCAGCGACATCCATCCAAGATCGCGCAACGTTTCGTTGCAATGCATTCAAAATAAATGGCTTGACAATTGACGGCCCTTCTTTTCCTGTCCTTGAGAGGACTGGGACAAATCGGTACGCCTACTCTTTGGGTATCATCAACTATGCCATGATCCAAGGGGAAAGCAAGAATCCTGTCCTTCCGAAATCGTGCATTGCTTACCTATTGATACGATTGAAGGGGACACGGTCATTTGCAAAAATAGTTCTTTCTGTTTGCAACGATTGGAAGAAGGTTGAAACCAAGACGTTCATCACATTTGATCTTCCACAAGACTATACTGTTGCGAAGCGGAACTTGTTGATGACAGTATGGATATGACAATTCTACAATTATATACCGTAATGACAGTAGAACTTACAATGTTAGACGTCCATCCTCGTGGCCATAGTCATAGCAGTTGGGTGTGGGTGTGGCATTTATGTAATACAGATGTAGCTGCTAACACCGGTGTGCGAAATTTATAGACTGGTCATGGACCATAAAGCGGATTGTCAATCTTTCGTACGAAGTGCTATGCTCAGGGTTTCTCGATGATATCACATCTCGTTCGTCTATCAACTCTGGCGTAGAAGAGTTGTCCGTCCAATATGTTTCAAGGCAGAGACAAGAACGATCACATTAAGTTATCTGCAATAACTACCCATCAAGATGAAGAACGACACCAAGCTCCTTCATGCTGTGATTCAAAGGAGCACCCTCAGTACGGCTAGGCTAATCCCTGAAGCTCAGCAGCTACAAATTCAGCAGCTTCAACGCTCGATGGGCGGGAGAGGGGAAGGGACTCCCAGCATCTTTCGAGAAAATTTTGGTGGGATACCTCGAGCTTGGGAACGTCTGCATCATACCGCATTGGTAGCCTTCCCCGTTCCCTTTCACGGTACACATGAATGCTCAACCGAAGCCACCAATAGGGCAGTCGGCCCACTAGTATCTTGACGTAATATTCAAAATTGCACATACTTTTAAGGCAGACCATGAACTCACTTGAAGCATAATACAACCAAAGGAATAGACGTCGGAAAACTTCGTGGGATCAGGTTCTATTTCATCATCCGAATCCTCCGAAAGAATCAACTCGGGAGCAGCCCATCGTGCTGCGTTGGGGCTATTGTAACTCTCCGTTGTGGATGTCCCCATATCTGTAGCAGCAGCGATTATAAGCGCAATGCCGTAATCTGCCAAACGAGCTCCCCCGCTCTCATCAATCAACACATTGGACTAATGAGACGTTAGCCTGAAGCGTCCGTCGAAGATATCACCACAGCTCTTACACCAGTTAGATTACCATGTACAATATCTTGGGAGTGAACTATTCAAATCGACATATTAATAGGCCGGTGGCCATCCAAAGCAAAAGAAACCACTGACGGTAGCAGAGTCCACTTGCTACGTCATTTAGCTGTGTAGCACATCATCAGGATACCCAGGATGGTTGTTACAAAAACACGAACAAGGTGAAACCTGCCCCGCGATGTAAGATACGAGTATTGACGGTCCAAGTACTCTGTTAGAGTTCCATCGCGCATCCACGTGGTAACCACGGCTGGAAAGACACTGAACCCGGAAGTCATGCCGTAGATGTGAATAATATTTCTATGCTCAAGTTTGATCCACCGTCGACACTCCTGAAGTAGGCTTCTTCGCATAACAGGGCTTGATACACCAAATCGACGAAGCGCTTTAACAGCGACCTGCAGGTTAGGCAAGTCAATGGCTATCGACAATAGTGTGCGTGTAATTTACCTGCACTTTTCCCAAGTCCGCGGTATAGAGATGACATTGCCATATGTCCCCGGAACTTCCGGCTGTTGCCGGGAATGTATGAAGCCGACTTATCTGGTTGACTAGGTCACCCTCAAAATCCTGGGGTATTTCCTGTTTTTTCAAAACAAGATGGGTGTTTGCGCTAGCGCTGGCCTGCAAGCTCTGTTGATTGATATTAACATCTTGACTGATGACGGGATGGATCATTCCTGCACAATGACTATTAGCCGATAGTTTATAGAGATAAAATCACAAACATATTCTCAACATCGGTATCTGCATTCCTAGTGTCGTCGTGTACAAACGCATGATAGGAAACATTTTCGTTCGAAATTAAGAATATGTCATTGCTGTTTGGCTCAGCATTTTCTTGCATGACCACAATGTTTGTTGCACTATCGTTCAAACGTTGGGGAGCTCTATCGGTATCACTTCTGGGCTTTTCTGGACGAGCAATTGGTGCCATAACCCCACGAATCATGGATTGTGCGACACGACGTAAAACTGAATCAGAGCTGCGCCAGACTGAAATACCGAATCATTATATCGTCAGCCGAAAGAAGCAAGACATCTTGCCATGTAATCGAGAGTTCAGAAAATCGACAATTTCGGGGGCAGATGGACGAGAAGATGGACGAGTTGCATTTCGGGGACTTGGTGACCAACATTTTCGAATGAAAGCCCAGTGGGTTCGAGAGACAATCGAAGGGCGTCTTGGAACTTGCCCATCAGTGAGTTTTTGGACGATGACGTGCTCGATCGCTACTTCTGACCAAGGAACTTCGCCGGAGAGGACCTTCATAGTCGAGAATTAACCTTATACGTGCCTGATGAAGCAAAGCTTACCTGCAGCATGATACTGCCAAATGAATATATGTCGCTTGCAAAGGTAGAATGTTGACCAACGCCAACTATGATCTCCGGAGCAACCCAGCGTATAGCTCCATGGCGTCCAGCTCCAAAATATGAAGTACCTTGGAAACCTCCAGACGCGGTGGACAGACCGAAGTCAGTAAGACACGCTTTGCCCTGGCCATTAATCAAGACGTTGTTCTGTTTGGGAGTTATGTTCACAGTGATACACAATGCAATAAAAATCAGCTTACGCCCGACAGGTCACCGTGCACCACCTCAGATGCGTGTACTGTGGTAACAAGAAACAATAAATAAGTTTGCTGACAGCACGTCTGGAAGTACATCCATACAGTATTGCACGCCGGCTGCAATGTCTCTGAGCTTGGATAAACGATGAGTATTTGTGTGGGTTAATCATTGGTGGCACAAATACTGACAAGTTCCAAACGTGGTCTATGGTGAAGTGTTTCGCGCTTCCGAGCGAGATACGAAGTGAGCGTTCCATTTGTGAACCAAATGGACACCATTGAGATTGAATTGTCTGGGCCAAAGCCCGATGCAATTCCAAGGAGCGGGACTATATTTTCATGGTTCAATCGCCTCCATATGGCCAGCTCTCGGTGCACCTGTGGAAAATGGAAGGATTTCAAGCTATCATCAACAAACATACTAACGTTTTCCTTCCTTCCATTAGAATGCATTCGCAAAGTCTTTACCGCAACCTACCTTACAGATCAGAATTACATTTTGCATGCATCCACTAATAAGTCTCGCACCTCAATTTCCGTGTCCTCGGTGCGCAAAATACACCGCCACACAGTCCCAAATGCTCCTCCTTCTAGAGGATATGGATCCTTTCGAGTAATCTGGCTCGTAAGGTTGCGCAAAGTCGAGAAACTTGATGCACCGAATAAGCCTCCGATCAACGAGTTGGACACAGCGTAAGTAGGTGAATCACCTCATTATTGTCAAAAGACGCAGAGGGGAATTTGAGACACAGTCAACGACAGGTTTTGTAGTTTTGGGCAAATTTACAACTATGGGGAATGTGTATCAGCTCATCTGTGATGGAAACTTTGAAGAGTATGAGAAAGATGAACCTATCAGTCAATTTGAAGGGCCAACTTGAAGATGCAAACCAATTCACTATAGAAAAGCTCACTGTGCCAGGCAGGAAGTGGATCTGCTTTCAACAATATGCGTAGTATGGTCCAAGGCGACTTTAGCAGGGTGAACATGCATATGAATCGGATGCAATCGAGGACAAGTGCATGAGTCATGTGCATGAACACGGCATTAGCTTATCTTCCGGTGCAATCGGCACCCAAAGAAGTCGCAATTGTCAATCTGAAATGTGATACGTGCAAGGAAGTTCGCGGGCGATGATGTTCTCGACTGCCATTTCTGACTATCGGCCTTCATCTGATCGTCCAATGATCAAAGCCTACTACAGGCTGCAGTGAATGTTACTTTCAAAGGTAAAACACTAGCCAACACCGACTCCGTGCAGCCTAGATTCCCATATCTCCCTAACACCACCCTAAACCATACAACATTCCACTCGACTAGACCCCTGCGCATATCATACACCGTCGTCGGAAGGAGTGCCAGCAATGCAAGGTGCGGCATGACGAGATGGTACGTGAGCGTAGTTCCTGGAACGGGGGACGTCGATGAGGTGAGTGGCGATGTTCCGGAGGGAGTGGTGCCAGAGGTGGGAGTTGATGTCGTGGCTATGGGTGGTGGCGTTGGTGCTAGCATTGGGGACAATCGACAGGCATCTGTTGCAACTGGATGTATTGAATAGGAAAGCTTTTGGAGATGCTGTGTTCTGCAAGCGATGAGATGTACATGTGGAGATAAGTAGCAATGAAGGCACATACAGAGCAAAAGATATTTAACAGATATGGCAGGGGATCGATCAATTTATAAAGCACGCAAGAGAACACCTCTCGAACAGAGTGGTCATATATGGAGGTGAGAGGGAATTGCTCAAATTCGGGAGATTCGTCTGAGGCGGTCCATGACGCGTTCGTGTATCTGGCGGAAGTGTCCTGCGTGCTGTTTCATTCACGAGCAAATAATGTATGCGGGATTGACATACCGATGTTGTTGCCCTCTTGAAGCCTTTCCGCTTTGTGTACATACTACCAAATATTTTAAAATTTATATTGGGTTGATTTGGTACACATCGACTGAACTCTACGAGTTTTGAGATGGGATGTTGGTAGAGACCCTGTGCATCTAGATGAGGATGATAGTCGACAGATAGATTCAGTATACGTACTCGGATGTGTATGACAAAGACTATAGTTGAGACATTGGCGAGAGATAGACCGAGTGTGTCGACGGTGACGTTTCCTGGACAGCCTCATATCTCCAATAGGATGACAATGCTGAGAAGCGATGCTCAGTGCTAGGTAAGAGCAGAAGTCATGAACAAATACACACTCAATGAAATGCCTTGCGACGCGCATGGTGGGCTCGAGATAATAAAAAGCCTGTTTGACTGGGAGATCATCGAAGAGAACTTAGAGTATAGAGGTCATTCCGCTCCTGTGATAGGATCAACAAAAGGAGAAAGCATAGAGATTCGCCTTCTCATGCCCAGAGAGAGTATTCTTGTCCTACTGGTTCCATTGGAAATGGCTGTGCTTGAGGAAGAGTGAAGTAAGTCGGAAGCCTTTGAATTCAACAAGCACAAACACCTCCGACTCTTGTCCGACGGTTTAACCGGAACATAAGTTGGACTCTGACTCTTCAGATATACTAGTAGCATCGCGATTTTTGCGATCATCGCATCAATGCCCCGAGCATCCTTGTTGCATGTCGTCGCTCACTGCCGCTAGTATCAACACATACCTTGTGATTTTGATTGCGTCGTACGCTATTCGCCAGATACCAATCCCGGTTTATAAAATTTTGCTATGAAATGGCTCGTAGTATCAAGCTGTGAAAATTGATGGCATCATCACCGCATCAAGTTTCAACTGCACAAATTTGGTATGGTGTGCGCGATACGCATCAGGCAGATAAGTTTCACGCTTACTATTTTTGGAATCCTAGTTATAATATAAAGATCTCGAGGGGCTCATCGCCGAGGAGCAAGGAGATTTGACATTCAGGCTGAGTGATGTCTTGGCAGCCCAGACCCGGGTGGGGCGTAATCCATTTGCTTGCTTCATGTGGACTTGCTGTGTTTTCCATGTCTGACTAGCATCATCCCGACAGAATGTGAAAGAGTTGTTGCGTCCCCAGAGCCGAGATCAGCGAGGCAGAGAGTGCCAATGCCGGTCGGGATGGAAGATCTCTTCGATGGTAGCGTATCCCATCTTTTCAGGGGAGCGTTAGATCGTTGAGCTTTTGCAGTGTTCAAACACTCTGCCCATGACTGTTTTGCAAATTCACCACCGAAACCTCCCAATCCTGGATCGACTTTCCCTTCCTATTTGACTTTGTGCGGCAATGTTTACTTTGGGAAATCAAGGCAGTAGCATGCAACCCTCCTTTCGGTCAAAAAAGCGCTCCAAGGTGATATATCTATCACAAATGCCATCGATGTACGTCCACCAAGTTTGTCGCTCCCTCACACCGGTCTACAACACAATGACCTTAATTTCAAATGATCCCAGTTGGTGGCCTTCTATCAATGCGAGTCACATCGCTAGTTGTTTTGCAGGTTCGTGGAGTTAGATCGTAAACGAAGAGGGTGATACATCAATCTAACCCTGGCTGCGGTTTCGCAGTTGCCTCCTCTGCTGTGTTGATGTATGATTGGGGTGAGTAATATAGTATTACAGAACAACTGATATCCTTATGAAAATTCTAGCACTGACATTCGGACAAGAGGTTAGTTGGTGCCATTAGTAATGGTGTGGCTAACTGGCTAAGTGATTTTCGTAAGTCGAACTAATCTGGGTGAGCAGAGTCCCGCACTAGAAGAACAATGTGAAAATACAATTCTTTCGCAACAGAGGCAACGCTGGTCCCTGATGACTTTTCTATATCTCAGTGTGTGTAACTCACATTACAAATCGCTAAGTTGTGCTGACTCGAAGATCTCCTAGGTGCGCTATGTTGGAATAATTCATGCCGTGTATGTTTGGAAGGCTAAGAAAACGATGTCGTACTAATCGCCGGTTATCTCTCACCATCAGTATCAACATGCTTAGTACGTCTCCTCACATTTACTATGTGTTTTCTTCTGACCTATGTCATACAGTAAGTCTCCCCATCTTGGTGACAGATGTAGTGAGTATTCTGCGCTAATTTCTGCCATCCCCATTGAGTTAACTGTTACCCTATGTAGGGGTGAGTGAGATCCTTGACCAACTTTTTGGTTCGAACATAATGACTGTCACAGTTGTGAGTCTGTTACAAGTATGTGATCATCCGAGGTCAGGCGCTCACTTGATTTTCAGGTCAGATTATGTACGCTGCACTAGATTGGATAGGTGTGATCGTAATTACAATGCTGGAAGGTGAGAAATGCAATTGCAATTCCTCAGTGATATTGACTTGGCTGAAACGTCATGCTAGTCATCATGATTGCTCGGTTGCACGCCATGTATCAGCATTCCAGAAAGGTGCTGATAATTCTGCTTATCGCCTTCCTGGCTGTTGGTATTGTCAATATACTGGTAGCCGCAATAACGATGAAGCATTTTTCAGGGGGTAAGTATGCTTATAGATGACAGACTTTCAAAGTGCATCCGGCTCATTGATGAATTCCAGAGGAGCTTGTTCTCTCCGGGACCTATCAGTGCGCTATTAAATTCGAGGGAGACGCAGTCCTTCTGGGTTCCATATCTTGGATAATCGGCACTGCAAGGGAGGTCCTCACGCTGTGTCTCGCTGTCCGGATCGCTGTAAAGCACTTCCGTGAACTACCAAGACACTCGGCAGGACAGAGTATAAAGGACTGTTTTACGGTATTGTTGAAAACTCACGTGGGATACTTTGCGAGGTGAGCTCATGATATGAACGTGATCGTCGTTTCCCGCTGAAGTTCTGTATGTGTCAGCATGCTTGCTGCTGCTTGCTTAAAGCTCGGTTATATGTCGCCAACGATATCAGCGGTATGTCGACCTATCCCTGATCTCTGCATGTAACCACGTTTCCGAATCATCATTTCTGTAGGACAAATACTCCCCGGGAACTCAGATTTATCTTGGTTTTCTTCAAATTTTCACGCTTGCTCAGATGTTTGTCCTGGGACCACGCCTGATCCTTAGTGTGCGAGAATATCATACTAGGCTCATGGCCCATTCAGATGCAGGTCCCAGCATGATTCCGATGTCTTTCCAGGAGCGCGTGCATATATCAACTGGTGGTGTTGTGTAGCACGAGAGATACTCGATATGATTTGTACTTGTGGGCTATTCTGCAGGAAGCGGGAGGGTTTGTTTTTATTGTGGTAATTTTATATCTAAGTTTTGGATGTTCCGAGTACTTATCGTTTATCAAGTCTAGCGCTCTACACGACCACTGACGAAACCCCTGGCATTGTACGGCTCTTTCGATTTTTGGAGGTTAGATGGCCGCTCCCTAGTGATACCACTGTCCGAAATATGGTAGCAAAAATCTTCACCGAGCTTCGTGCCAATTTAGTGAAGGAACTAATCGATAATCCAGGCAACAGTACCCCCGGCGTTTACCTAGTTTTTCAGGCAGTGCTTCAATGATACGAAACAATCGATCGCACCTGTCATGGCCAACGGGTGTTGTACATGGTGGACTCATGGCACAACGTCCGCATGAAATCACAAGCACACTGAAATCCCAGCGAAGTCAGTTAAAATACAAAGCGCTGCGGCGCGCCGTGTGCTCGGACTCTTCCTTTTGCATTGTGACGGATGTTCACAACCACGACGTCTTTCTGTTCAGCTTCTCAGTACGCAACGTGGAAACACCAATGCTATACTATACTTGAGACAATCCAGGGGGACACGCGCAATCACATCTCTGATGGAATCAGCATGCCTTGTCTGTCGCTGCATGCTCTCACAAACCAGCACGAACATCATGCACCATAGGAGTCCGACCGTCAGCTCTCCAAAAAGCCTAAGCCGTTTGGTCGGACAACCCTAGACTTGGATAAGATATTGAGTATAGAATAGAATGCGAGCGCCGAGGTATAATACACTGTATACTCGGAGTCACGTTGAAATTGTATCTGAAATCTCCATAATTGATCTATTGCTGCAATCAGCGCCATTACTAAGGCCTGCAAGTGTTGATTTCAGTGCGAGGGACGGAAAGGGCTTTGAGAAGACTCACTCCACTCGACACTTGTGCCAGTACTGTCCATGTGCCATGCACCTCAAATCAAGCTCGGGACCTCCTCTGGGTATCACCAATGTAGTTGCAGGGTTGTAAAATCCGTGTCGAGAAGCGGGGGGTACCCAGAATAAGAGCTGATTTTTGGGCCCTACTACCCATCCACTATCACGTTTCAGGAAAAAGGAGGTCAAAGGGGTCGAACTGTGGTCGTCATGGAATGCTCCCTCCGTTAACTCAAAGGTATTGCATAGAGCGTGGATAGAGTTGGACGAGAAGCGAATGAAGTGATTGTTCCGGTTGTTCGACCGCATGGTATCGGTGGCCTCGATCTTGCGCCGTTCATCTGATAATGTTGGAAGGTCTGACTGGGCGCACTGTTGCGATAGCTGCTTCGTCCCTGCATCCCACAGCCGAACGGTGTTATCCGAAGAACCGGTGACGATGCGAGTGCCGTCCGGCGAGAACGAGACCGAGATGACTGATGAAGTGTGCCCCCGCAAGGGCTCACCGACTGGCTTCCCCGTCCCTGCATCCCACAGCCGAACGGTGGTATCCGAAGAACCGGTGACGATGCGAGTGCCATCCGGCGAGAACGAGACCGAGTTGACTGATGAAGTGTGCCCCCGCAAGGGCTCACCGACTGGCTTCCCCGTCCCTGCATCCCACAGCCGAACGGTGTTATCCCAAGAACCAGTGACGATGCGAGTGCCGTCCGGCGAGAACGAGACCGAGGTGACTGATGAAGTGTGCCCCCGCAAGGGCTCACCGACTGGCTTCCCCGTCCCTGCATCCCACAGCCGAACGGTGTTATCCGAAGAACCGGTGACGATGCGAGTGCCGTCCGGCGAGAACGAGACCGAGTTGACTGAATCAGTGTGCCCCCGCAAGGGCTCACCGACTGGCTTCCCCGTCCCTGCATCCCACAGCCGAACGGTGCGATCCCAAGAACCGGTGACGATGCGAGTGCCGTCCGGCGAGAACGAGACCGAGGTGACTGATGAAGTGTGCCCCCGCAAGGGCTCACCGACTGGCTTCCCCGTCCCTGCATCCCACAGCCGAACGGTGTTATCCCTTGAACCGGTGACGATGCGAGTGCCGTCCGGCGAGAACGAGACCGAAGTGACTGATGAAGTGTGCCCCCGCAAGGGCTCACCGACTGGCTTCCCCGTCCCTGCATCCCACAGCCGAACGGTGTTATCCCTTGAACCGGTGACGATGCGAGTGCCGTCCGGCGAGAACGAGACCGAGGTGACTGAATCAGTGTGCCCCCGCAAGGGCTCACCGACTGGCTTCCCCGTCCCTGCATCCCACAGCCGAACGGTGTTATCCCTTGAACCGGTGACGATGCGAGTGCCGTCCGGCGAGAACGAGACCGAAGTGACTGATGAAGTGTGCCCCCGCAAGGGCTCACCGACTGGCTTCCCCGTCCCTGCATCCCACAGCTGAACGGTGTCCCAAGAACCGGTGACGATGCGAGTGCCGTCCGGCGAGAACGAGACCGAGGTGACTGATGAAGTGTGCTCCCGCAAGGGCTCACCGACTGGCTTCCCCGTCCCTGCATCCCACAGCCGAACGGTGTTATCCGAAGAACCGGTGACGATGCGAGTGCCGTCCGGCGAGAACGAGACCGAGTTGACCCAATGTGTGTGCCCCCGCAAGGGCTCACCGACTGGCTTCCCCGTCCCTGCATCCCACAGCCGAACGGTGTTATCCGAAGAACCGGTGACGATGCGAGTGCCGTCCGGCGAGAACGAGACCGAGTTGACTGAATCAGTGTGCCCCCGCAAGGGCTCACCGACTGGCTTCCCCGTCCCTGCATCCCACAGCCGAACGGTGCGATCCCAAGAACCGGTGACGATGCGAGTGCCGTCCGGCGAGAACGAGACCGAGTTGACTGATGAAGTGTGCCCCCGCAAGGGCTCACCGACTGGCTTTCCCGTCCCTGCATCCCACAGCCGAACGGTATTATCCCAAGAACCAGTGACGATGCGAGTGCCGTCCGGCGAGAACGAGACCGAGGTGACTGAATCAGTGTGCCCCCGCAAGGGCTCACCGACTGGCTTCCCCGTCCCTGCATCCCACAGCCGAACGGTGTTATCCCTTGAACCAGTGACGATGCGAGTGCTGTCCGGCGAGAACGAGACCGAGTTGACCCAATTCGTGTGCCCAATGAGCAAGGTCTGAGCAGCTGGCCAGTCCGTATCACGTCCGGATACCACATGAAGAACATTCGGAAATTGTGAACAAAACTTTCTCCATAACAGAGAATTGGCAGGTGAAAACGGGAGTGCTGATACATATAGATGTGGTGTGCTGTGTAGAATCAGGTTGCCGAAGACTTGAATGAACCTTTGTACGTCCATTGCAGTCGATGAGACGTTTGCGAATTCGGAATGGTCCTGGGGATGCACATGAGGGCTTTTATCTGACCCTCCGTAGTAATGTACTGACCTTTAGCCAGCGGGAAACGAGCGGAAGGGCACTAACTGCACTGCTCAGCGCATCGATCAGGGCCAGTGACTCGAGCCAGAAAAAGACCCGCTCGTGCTCGAAGAACAATGTTATCTCTTTCGCAAGCTCCTCGTCGAAGGCTGTGTCTAGTACGTGCGAAGTCCAAAATCGACAGGAATACGACAGATGTTGGGGGATGCATTTTTTGACTCGTTCTTGCAGTCCGGGGTCTTCACTATTAGGTAGATACGACGACTTTAAATTACAGATGTTGAAGCGAAGACCCTGTTCCATCACTCGAAGTGACGCAAATGCAAGGTCGCGTTGCGCCATCGACACGTCGACGAAAAACTCTCCACTGGATGATTCGTCTGTCAAGAAATCGCGGAAGGATGCATGAAGGGGTCGGATTGGGGAATCTGCGTTGGTGGTGCCGCTGAGGAGGGAGCCCATGGTTTTTACCACAAGCCCCACATCGAGATGGTCCTCTGGGTTTGGGAAATGGTCCCTCATGGCGTTCAGGGAAGCTAAAGTGAGAGGCTCAGCTGTGCCTAGTATTTGTGCCATTACCGAGCAAAATATCGCCGGCGCAGTCGAACGCAGTTTCTGCGAATGCTGGACATTGCTGGATGTATTCCTATGCATCATATCTGTTAAAATGAGGCGATACATATTGTGCAACAGCACGCTTCGCTCAGTGGAAATGTTTGACACCACAGCCTCGTAGCAATCCTTTCGAGATAGCGCAGTATGACGCTCTTTGATGTATTCGCAAGCGAGACGCGCCCACTCGAAAAGTCCATCAGCTTTCTTAGCGAGGACTTCAAACTCTTCGTCCTGAAAATCCAGATCTTCCAACTCGTCGGATACGTAAGCACGGATGTCGCGCTCTGCGAATTCTGTTGGAATTTCATCCATCGACATCGGTCGAATATGCCGAACACCGTGAAACTCGTTATTGATGTCATCAAGCGGGCGAGAGGTCACGATGAAGCGGAAGTTGTCTGGGAGGTCTGTGATTCTGGGAATGCCGGATTTTTTATGTTTGTCAGCTAAAATATGGAGGAGGTCTCTCCGTGTCTTTGCTTCGCCACTCTCGTCCAGTGCATCAATCACGATCACGATGGGCTCCCCAGTCGACCCAGATGACTTCTTCAGTGGTTCAATGAGGAGTTTCTGCCACTGTTGGATGATATCCGCAGTCTTCTTGAGCGAATTTGCGGCCCGAACTGCATCTGCCAATGCTCGCCTCATTTGAGGGTCACGGTCGGCCAGGTCGCGCGCGATCGTAGAAAAGATCTTTTCGTGGCGACGATCTGCTTCTCGCTCGCGGTCAAAAGAGTAGCAAGAACCAAGCCCTCCCACGTCGTCGAACCACTTAGCAATGGTGTGGGCGATCGCCGATTTTCCCTTGCCTGCAGGGCCAGATAGCCACAGCACGCGTGGAACGTCGTCCCCAGTGCTCCTGACCCAATCCGTGATCTCGGAAAGGATTTCCGTGCGCGTCCCTTCAAGGCACTCCTTCCTACTATCTAGTCCCGCGCACTCTGCATAGGTCATATCACTGAGCACCAGTATTTCTTCTGAAAAAAATATGAATATATGTCAAGTCGCAAGGACGTCCGAATCCTCACCTGTGTCGTGGACATGTATATCTATGTCGTGGACCTGCATGGCTATATCAAGCAAAATCTGGTCCCGGAAGTCTTGCATGAGACTATTTAACACGTCGTTGTACTTTTGGATCGTATCTGTCGTTTCTGAGACGACATTCTTTCCGAGTCTCTTCCCTGTGATGATGGTAGAAGCTTGAGAAGGTACAGAGCGCAGCAGCGAGTGACACTCACAAAAGTTGCTGGTCTCCGAATAATTGCTGATGAAATGGGCGCATTCACGGATCTGCTTAGACATCTTTCCGAGGACACTGATAGCACGCATAGACATTTTTTGGTTAAGCTTCTCGTCTTGTGTCATGAAGTCGTAAACGTCACACAACTTCTTGAGAAGTGCAAGTGTTTCTTTGTCGCGATCCGCTTGAGCTAGAATAATCTGCACAGATGATTGATGAGTGGTGAGAGATAAGAAGAGATCAAGAGAAAGCATACTTTGGCTGTCCAAGATAACACGCCCAGCGCCATCTTTGCATATGGATGTAGCTGTGAAACTGGATTAGTTCGGTTCCGATCGAAAGGAAGCCCCATACATCCGCGATCTTCCCAATGACATCGTCGAATATCTTGAGGGGTTTGAGATATGTCTCCTGGAAACTGCTAGCATCATGCAAATCCTCTTGTGCGCCTTTGGTAACAGATGCCGCAGTTGTCGCAGGTCCCGAAAGTGGATGAATGTGCTTCACATCCTCCTGTGCACCCCGAAGTGCCGACTCGGTATCAGCTTCCCCTTCCGCAACAGACGGAGCGGCCTGAACGTGCACGAACACCAAAATTTAGAGGGAGGACAGAGACTCGAGGGCAAGTATGAGAACTTACCTCGGTGTTCGGGGTCGATAAAGCATGTTCATCACTTAGGGGAGCAGGGCTAAGGCTGCGGGAATCCCTCGAGCGCTTGTTGCAATCTCAGTCGCATTCCAGGACGCTCGTTATTCATTCTCGTGGACTCACCGACTTCAACTTTTTCGCATCTTCCTTGAGCTTCTTCAGAAACCGACCGATTGGGCCACGGGGTCGATGCTAGACGAAGGATATGTCAATGTCAGTTTTGGAGTGGAGTGAAGTCAACCTCATAAGCCACGTACCGAGCTTCCAGTAGCTGTTGCTTGACTAGATGTGTGAGTTTCTTGAGTTGAACCCTTCGATGAGTTGCCTTTCCTCGAAGTCATCGCGATTTGCAACAAACAGTG